TCTGGGACAACTTCAAATGTACAACATTTGCATGATGGTGATGCCAGAAGGAGAAGAGAGAGAGAGCAAGATATTGAAAATCTATTTGAAGAAATAATGACAGAAAACTTCCATTACTTGTTGAAAGAAATACACTTACAAGCCCAAGAAGCACAAAGAGTCCCAAACAAGAGGACCCAAAGAGGCCCGCACCAAGACACATCATAATTAAAATGCCAAGGGTTAAAGACAAAGAGAGAATCTTAAAATCAGTTAAGAAGAAGAAGAAGAAGAAGAAGAAGAAGAAGAAGAAGAAGAAGACAATAAAATGGCAATAAATACATATCTATTAACAATTGAATCTAAAAATTAAACAAATAAAGATTCTAATAAACAAAATAAACTGATGAATAAAATAGAACCAGAGGCATGGAAACATGGAACAGACTGACAAATCTCAGAGGGAAGGGGGGAGGGGAAGAAGAGATTAAGCAAAGAACTTATATGCATTACTTATGGACACAGACAATAAGATGGTGAATGCTTGGAGTGGAGCAGGAACTGGCGGGGGGCGGGGGGAGAAGGGGGTGTGGAGAAGGGGGACATCAAAAATAAAGATTTAGAATATTAAAAAAATTAAAAATAAAATGACCATTACAGCCCTGGCCAGTTTGGCTCACTGCTTAGAATGTCAGCCCATGGACAAAAGGGTGGTGGATTGGATTCCTGGTCAAGAGCATGTACCTTGGTTGCAGGTTCCCTAACCCCAGTTGGGACACAACCAATCGATATGTCTCTCATATTGATTTTTTTCCTCTCTCTCTCCCTTCCACTCTCTCTGGAAAGCAATGGAAAAAATATCCTCAGATGAAGATTAAAATAATAATAATAATAATAATAATAATAATAATAAAAATAAAATAGCCATTACAAATATGTTTAAAGAACTAAAGGAGCCCAACCATTGGGTGAGTGTCAACCTATGAAACCAGGATATTACGGTTCAATTCCTGGTCAGGGCACATGCCCAGGTTGTGGGGTTGGTCCCCAGTGGGGGGCATATAGAAGGCAGCCAATTAATGATCCTCTCTCATCATTGATGTTTCTGTCTCTCTCTCTCTCTCTCTCTCTCTCTGAAATCAATAAAAATATTTTTTAAAATATATAAAAGTAAGGAATTAAAGGAAACCATGATTTTAAAAAGTAAAGAAAAAAATATAATGGCAATACCACATCAAGTAGAGAATATCAATTAAGGGGTACAAATTATATAAAAAGAACCAAGTGGAAATTCTTTAGTTGAAAAGTAAAATAACTGAAATGAAGAATGCACTAGAGAGGCTCAACAGTAGATTTAAACTGGCAGAAGAAAGCATTAGTAAACTTGAAGGTCGATGACAGAGATTATGCAATCTAAAGAACAGAGAATAAAGATGAAGCAAAATAAGTAGAGCCTCAGAGAAATGTGGGACATTATTAAGTACCAACCAAAATATGTTAGTATTGGAAGGAGAAGAAAGAAAGGAACAGAAAAAAATATTTGAAGAAATAATGGCTTAAAACTTCCCAAATTTATTGAAAAACTCTAACCTACATCCAGTAAGCTTAACAAACTCCAACTAGGATAAATGCAACGGCTCCACAAACAACCCTACACAGTAAAGGCTCTCAAGTCAAAGAGGAAGAAAAATGAATGTTGAAAGCAGCAAGAGAAAAATGACTCGTCACTTACGAGGGAATCCCAATAAGATTAACAACTGATTTCTCAGCAAAAACAATGCAAGCCAGATGGCAGGATAACCTATATTAGGTGTTTCAGCTCTGGCCGGGTGGCTCATTTGGCTAGAATGCCGAACGCCATTCTGATAGCCAAGGTTGTAGGTTTGATACCCAGTCAGAGCACATACAAGAATCAACCAATGAATGCATAAATAAGTGGAACAACAAATTGATCTCTCTCTCTCCCTCTCTCTCAAATCAGTAAATAAAATTCAAAATATATATTTTAAAAAAATAAAGTTCTTTCAAAAACCCATTATTGTCCTGGCTGGTGTTGCTCAATAGTTAGAATATCAGCCCATGCACCAAAGGGTCATCAGTTTGATTCCCTGTCAAGGGCATGTATCTGGGTTGCAGGTTTGATCCCCAGCTCTGGTCAGGGCACCTGTAGGAAGCAATCAATCTCTCTATCTATCTCTATCTCTCTCTATCTCTATCTCTATCTCTATCTCTATCTCTATCTCTATCTCTAATCATCTCTCTCTTCCTTCCTAAAAATCAATGGAAAAAATATCCTCCAGTGAGGATTAACAAACTAAAACACCCACATTGTTAACCAAGAATCCTACATCCAGCAAATGCTCAGATTCTGTCTGAGTTGGTGGAGGTGACTTCACAGTAGACGTGACTATTTAGATGTCCCTGAGGAACCCAGACCCAGCATTTCCAAAGCTGTCGTCCTCCTCCTCTTCCCCACCTGCATCCTAAGTGTGCTCCTGCCACCAGGCTCCCCACCTCAGGGAAGGAGCCACCCTCCACCCAGGTGTTCATTCCAGACTCCCTTTCCCACAGCTCCAGCCCCAAATGCAACATCCCTCTGTTAACTGCTTCTCAACTGTTCTGCCTGCCTCCATTCTTGCCCCTTTTCTGACCCATGGTCCCAGCAAGAAATGCTTTTCTAAAATGCAAATCAGATCCTGCCTCTCATACACCCCCCCACCCCCCCGCCCCGCTCCCGCTCCAAGACCCTTCCAGAGAAACCTCCACAGGGCAGGTGGCAGGTAAGGCCCCTTCCTTTCTCTGTCCTCTGCCCATGCAAGCGGCCTACCCCTCTGCTCAAGCCACACCAAACTTGCTGTTTCCAAAATGGCTTTTTCCTGTGTCTGGGCCCACCTGGGTGTAGTCCACGTTGCTGGGGATGCAGTTCCTGCCTTTCTGCCCAGTTCTACCCACATCCTTTAAGCTCACTGACCGCCTCCTCCAGAAAAGCCCTCCTGGTTCTCACTGCAGGTTAGATCTTGGTACATCTCAGGCATGGGCCACCTCCTCCACAGCATTTCCCACACTGCATTGTAAGTTTGCTTTTTAACATTTTATTTCTCTGTCTCGCTTCCTCACTGGAATGTTTGCCTGTGTATCTCCAGTACCAAGCTCAGTGCCCGGCACAGAGCAGATGCTCGGAGCTGCTTGATGAGTGAATGTTGAGTGGATGTAGAGGGGCCCAACAGGACAGAAGAGAAGTGAGCTGGTTATTAGAGTGGTGGCTCAGGAGGGAGGTGACGGGGTCAAAACCAAGGCTAGAGCAGCAGCCATGAGAAAACAATGGGATTGATAGAGACGTTGCCTTGAAATCTGCAACCCAGGCTTAAACCACAGTAATGCGCCTGTGTGGTCTGAGGCCCTATCTGGGTTGGTGCAGGAGGGCACCCGGCGGGTAGTGGCTGCTCTGGAAGCTGCTCTGTGGGCAGGGATGGGGTGCGGTTTCACTGTTGGGGACAGGGAAGAATCAGTGCAGCTATGGGCTGGGGGGTGGGGCGGGGCATGGTCTCTCTCACCCCACGGGGCCCCCTCAGGGCCTGCGGTGCAGCAAGCGGGTTCGTGATCCTGGACTACGCTTTGGAGTCACACGGAGTGGAAGGATAATGGGGACACAGTGTGAGCACATTTGGGATGAACCTTGAAAACATTATGCGAAGTGAAATAAGCCAAACACAAAAGGACAAAGACTGTGTGAGTCCACTGTGAGGTACTTGGCATAGTACATTCATGGAGACAGAAAGGATAAAGGGGGTTAACGGGACGGGGGGGGAGCAGTGGGAGTCCGTGTTTGATGAGGACAAAGTTTTTCTCGGGAAACATGAAAGGGTCTGGACATGGTGGTGGCAATGGTGGTGGCAATGGTTGCACAACAGTGTGAATGTACTGAATGCCGTCGAATTACACACACAGAAAGGGGGAGATGGTGAAATTTGTTATATATATTTTAGCACACCAAAAAAAATTGCTACTGACCAAAAAAAGAAAATTTGAAATTGATAGAGTGAGTGAGAAGGCTGGAGGGAGGTTTACGGTGGCCTGTCTTTGCTCGACAGGACTGAGCAGGAGGCCCTGTTCCGGTCGCCACAGAAAGAGGCCAAGCCACCGGACACGCTCAGCAAAAGGACTGCACGGGGCCCCCTCACGTGTGACCGGTCCCCTTCCCTCCCCCGCACAGTGGCGGCTCACCAGTTGGGAGTGAAGAGGAGGGAGCTGTGCTCTGGAATTCTCTGAAGGTGATCTGGGCTGGGAGGGACGTGGCCCTGGCCGGCCTGCCCCAGCTTAGGGTCCTCCCTAATCAGTGTGCCCTCAGCGGGTCCGCTGGGGCTCTGGGCCTCCCCCAAAGGCTGGAGCGGCCTCTAGAGTTCAGGTCCAGCCTAGGTTGCAGCTGGAGGTCTGCCTGCTGGCCCTTCACCTCTATGATGAGACACCTTCACCCTGGGCAGAGAAGATAGTAAGTCAGACCCATAAACCTTCCCCCCTTCCACTCGCTGCTGGCTCCACCCTGCCTTGGGACAAATCTGGGTCAGACACAGACAGCAAAGCAGGGGCATTCCATTCCGAGGGCTGGGAGGAGAGACAGGCGTCTGGGGGAGGGTCAGGGATGACCTGGGGCCCTCAAGGAGCCATGCGTCTCTGACCTCAGAGAAGCAAACGTCCCAGAGAGGAGGCCAGAAGGGACTTGATCATTATTGCAGACACAGGAGCTGGAGAGCAGGGCTGGGAGCTCCCTGGGGAGTATCCCAGGCCAGCGATGCCCCCTTGCCCGGTGATGTGGTCACCTACAGCTGTAGGTCAGAGCAAGGACCACACCCCTGTGCCCCTCCAGCCCATGGCCTGTCCACATACCATCACTACTCTGAGCACCCACATTTACCCCTAGTGGTTTGGGGAATTGGTTTAGGGCTGGCTCTGCCGTATTGTTATGTATCTCCATGATTTTATTTTTTTCCCTGCAGGAGAGGCTCTGGCAAAACAAGTATAAAATGAATGACAAGACGTTCTCCATTTTGGTGGGCATCTTCTCTATCCTCAGCACCATTCAGTTCCTCATCTTTGACTTGAACGAGCGTACGTTCATTGGCTACGAGGAACGGTTTAACGTCTACACGAACGGGTCTGCGATAGCCACTTGGGTCTTGACCAACAAAAAGAACATCTGCACCAGCCTATCCACCATCACCGTCCTAGTCAGCGCCTTCCTCATCTACTGCATCCACCTGAACATCTACCAGGGGCTGCTGTGCTATGCTCTATGGGTCATCGCCTACGAGATCACCAACTTCTCCATGGTCCTTCTCCTCAACGGAATCATCATAGAGCAGTTCAAGGAACTGGGCTACGTGCACTTGGTCTTCCAGATCTCCCGCATGCTCCTGCACTTCTTCTGCCTGCCCTTTATTCTCAAGCACACCTACATCCTTTATAGGGACCCCAAGAGTTTCAGCAAGATCAGCCGCCGCAGGCTCTCCTCCATCACTACCCTGGACTCGTGGTCCCCCGTCGCGCCGGGGATGATGTACCGCAAGTTAAACTGAACGGTGCCAGGGAGAGAGGGCCAGTGCTCCCCACCAACGGAGTCCCCATCCCTGCCTGCTTCCTGTTGATTCTGTTTGCCTTTGGGGGGTTCTTGAGTTTTACGCATTTAAGAGTGATTCTTGGGGGCGGGGGTGGGGGGCATAGGTCAATGATAGTGTATGTGTTTGTGACTTGTTTTAGCATTAAATTCTATCCTGCCTGTGTGCTTGCTTAGTGCATGCCGCTGCCTCGCGGGTCCCCTCCTCTCTGCGTGTCCTTGGTTTCCAGGTTTTCTCTGTGGGTGGCCCCCCGAGGCCTGGTCCTGCCGAGGCCTCTGAGAGCAGCGCTCTCCGCTAGAACTTGCTGTGCTGATAGACATGTTCTGTCTCTGTCTGTCCACTAGCTACATGTGGCTGCTGAGCACTTGGGCTGTGGCTGTTACAACCAGGATTTTCAGCATTTTACTTCATTTTGATTTCAGTGGCCACATTTGGCTGGCTCGTAGCTACCGCGTTGGAGAGCACAGTAACACGGAGCTTCGCCTTACTCCTGCAGGTGGCCATGGAAAGAACCCCTTTCAGCGTCAGCATCTGCTTCCCTCAGACTTTTCAGAAAACAGCTCCTCATGTTGGCTCGCAGCATAGCAGGAAACCCCCCTTTCAGAAAGCTCCAGAATTTCGCACGTGAAGCACTACTGACTTCTGTCTGGCAAAGGGCTGTCCTATGCATTGTAGGATGTTCTGCCCACGAGATGCCACTAGATCCCCCCACCTCTGTGACAACCAAAAATATCTTATTGCCAGATGTCCCCCAGTTGAGAACCGTTATTTTAAAGCGTTGGAAGCTGGGGTGTCACTTCCGTGAACTAACAAAGAGCATTTTTTACTGAGAGCTCTCCTTCCATTCACCACCTTGTGTAGTTTTAACCATAATGTTTCCAGGTTATGGTTGATGAAACAGACCCAAGACGCTTAAATGATGTGACCAAGGTGACACAGCAGCAAAAGCAGGATTTGAATCTAGATCCTCTGACTTCATACACGAATGTCCTATTTGGTTCCCTGAAGCACTCTTTCTTTTACCAAGATTTAAAAGGGGCTACCTCCTTTTAGGATATTTCCTTTTCCTTCAAAAAACATTGGGAGTGAATTCAAGGGACACTGTTTTAACCACACGCCCCCGAACCATGAGCCAAATGATAGTAGCCCACTTTCACTGAGTGCTGGGTGCTATTCTAACACTTCACTCAGTTCCTCCCATCAACTGTGAGAGTTGGCCAGTTCCCAAAATGACCACCAGATGGCAGTCAGCAGTAAGCTTTTGCTTGGTGCTATTTGTGGGGTGGCCAGATCCTGGGATTTAGGGAGCCTCAAGCTGAGGGCTGAGGGCTAATAGAATAGGTTTGTCCCTGGTTTCACAAGCTGTGCCTTGACTGATTTTAACTCTCTGGTCCCAGCCGGGGAGGCGGTGGGAGATCTGGAGAT